CCATCATCAGCATATAGAGATTTACCTATGCCTGTATCAATTTCCTCAAATATATAATTTATCATGACATTAAAAAGCACAGGGCTGCAAAGACTGCCCTGTGGGATTCCGTTTTCCACATGATAAACTTCTGAATGTTCAGTACCTACCCTCACTTTTATAGTCCTGTCAAAAAGAAAATCCACCACCCAGTTGTATAGCCTGCCTCCCACACCTAATTTGCCTAACTTAATAAGCAGCCCTTCTTTCCATAACATGTCATAAGCTTTTTCTATATCAAAAAATACTGCTACCACTATTTGTTTGTTTATTTGTGCTTTCCTAATTTCTGATTCCAAGATTAACACCGGATCCATAGTATTTCTCCCTTTACGAAATCCATTTTGATAAGGAGACAAATAGTTTCGTTTTTCTAAATAATATGTTATTCTTTCTGTTACCATTCGTTCAATTTAATGGCGGTTGACAAGCCAACTTATGGTGTATTACCGCCACCAACTGGACTGGAGTGTGAAGCATTAACATGAAAGAGGGAGAAAGAAAAAAAAACTTTAAATAAATTAAAAAAAGCCGGTAGTATTAATATGAAATTTAAATTCTACTTTATAATCCTGTTATCTTCAGATAACTAAGAATTTCTCTCATAATACTTGTCTGTCCTGAGGCACAACTCAGCTAGAAACACTGCATAGTGTAGTGACGCATTATGATACGTTGTCAAAATAAAGGTCCTAACAAATACCACTCAATGTAGTTGTATTTAGCGAGAAACAAAAAATAGTGTGCAGTAACAGTGAATAATAATAATAATAATAATAATAATAATAATAATAATGAGATTGACTTTTTTTATTATTAGAATCTTTTATTAGGTTTTGTATAGATGAGAGTGATTGTTGGTGACTTAATTCTACCGGAAGTACACGACAGTCATGTTTTGTAAATAAACTGTTCGACTTTTATATTTATTTGTAGTCTTATGGTATTCGGTCTAGAAATGGTACGATTGTAATTTGTACGTATTTATTTAGGTGCTCGATGAATCTGGTAAAGCATTCATTTAGGAATTATTTGTGGATATAAACCTAAACTAGTCACACCACTCCATTGGTAAGTAATCGTTAAATTAATCTTTTATTTTAGCTGTGTGCAATATAGTGTCCTTTGCCTTTATTTTCACAACTGGAGATCGCCAGTCTCATTATTACGTTGGGTTCGTTTCGGTGTTTATGTTATTTGACCTTATATGAAATAATTCGAAAGTAACGCACACGACTTTTTTTTTTTTTTT